ATGATTAAGAATGAAAATAAAAAGTATAAGAAAAGTTCATATGATGAAATTAGAGAGATTGTTTTAGAGAGAGAAAAAGGGAATACTCCAGTTGAAGATAAGATTAAGAAAAAGAACATGAAAATATTTAAAAATAATAATAATTCTAATCAAAAGGATTACACTAAATTATTCAATTTGTAAATCATAATTCTTAATTATGATTTAGAAATTAATGAAATTACAATTTCATCAATTTGTAAAAAATGTATTTTTTAGAAATTAATGAAATTACAATTTCATCAATTTGTAAATCATAATTCTTAATTATGATTTGGAAATTATTGAAATTACAATTTCATCAATTTGTAAAAAATGTATTTTTTAGAAATTAATGAAATTACAATTTCATCAATTTGTAAATCATAATTCTTAATTATGATTTGGAAATTATTGAAATTACAATTTCATCAATTTGTAAAACATATATAAAATATGTTTTAGAAATTAATAAATGTATAAATTAATCAATTTAGTTTAGTTTAAATTATTTCTAAATTAAATTATATATAGCAATGGAAACTTTTAGTGCCGAAGATATTCTAATTGACAACCTCTCATTCAAACTAAATAAAGGTGCAAGTTATATCAACGACCGTCGTTCAGTCTCGTTTTTCCCTTCTGGGAGTAATATCTACACCCCTTCATCTGGTCAACGTGTGTTGAAAATAGCTTTAAATGCTGAAGATAATACTTGGCTTGATCCGCAGAGTGTAATGGTTTATATGACTGTTGAAAACACTGACTCGTCAGACAATAAACGCTTACGTCCTCTGTCTCCTGCTTATTCCTTTTGTAGAAGAGCAAGACTAATTGCTGGTAATCAACTTGTTGAAGACATTGATTATTACAACCGAAATCATCACATGATGAGTTGCATGATGTCAAAAGGAGCAAGAGACAATGAAGACGCCCAGAGTTTTGGTTCTAGATATGATGATGATTTAAACACACGTCGAGCAGTTCCTGCATCGGGTCATATTGGTCCTGCATATGACGCTTACACAATTCCAGGCTTTAACAGAAAATTGGTTGTAGGATTTAAACCGATGCTTGGTTTATTCAATCAATATAAGTATATCCCGTTAAAAGCGTGTCCTCTTGTTTTAGAACTTGAACTAGTTTCAAATTTTACTGATTGTGTTGTTTCAGCGGGCTGGTCGAGGTTTCCAGAAAGTGGCAACGCAGACTCAAGCCTTCATACAAATGAGCAGTTCTCAATTATTAATGCATTCCTTCAAACTGATTTGGTAAGCTTGGACAACGACCTTCATAATAAATATGTTGCACACCTACTTGATGGGAAAGAATTACCTATTACTTATAATACCTACATTTGTCAATCTAATCAAGTTCCCGATGGTTCGTCGTCAATTAACACTACTGTTGTTCGTTCAGTGTCTAAACTCGCTACCGCGTTCATCTCTTTCAGTAAAAGCGGAGAAGGTGATATTCACGTTATGAAAGAATACAACAACTTCTATCATCCTATGTATTATTTGAACTACCAAGAAAGCGGATACTACAATCACGACCTTGATTTAGAATTTCAACTTCAATTAGGGTCAAAACTATATCCTGAGTATCCTTGCCGTTCATTAACACAAGCATTCTATTATTTACGAAAAGCATTAAAATTACCATTGTTCCATCAACACCATTTATCGATTGAATATTCTGCTTATCGTGTTGATAAGTTTATCTTTGCTATGGATTTCGAAAAGGTTCCCGATAGTTCATATACTGTAATTAACACAAAAGCAGGGCAACAGCTTTTAATTCGTGTGAAACCTGTTGGAAATATGGTATCAGCAAATATGCCAGACACGATATATATAACATTAGTATCATAACAAATATTATCCATTCGCGATGCAGGTTGCCAGATACTTGATTAACTCATTCATTTTTACTTGAAAACATATATAAACAAATATCATCTTATAATATATTATAAGATAATATGCCATTTAAACCCATAGATTACTCAAAAACTCATTTTTATAAGATTGTTTGTAAAGATTTGAATATCAAAGATTGTTATGTA